TGAAAATTTCGGACCAGCTTCGACACCAAACTAAAAGATTTTCTTGTTTATTTCGACCTCGAAAAATTACTTTTAGTCTTATTTTTTCGATAACTTATTCTACTACTTTTCCGGAAATGACAGTTTTGGATTTCTTTTTAGTTGCATTTCAAATTGAATATTTCTAAAATTTTGCCCCAGCACCTTAAAAACGTTATATTCTTGGAATCAGCACTTCGAAATCTATTATATCTCAGAATTTTTTGACGGTTTTTGGACGAATTTTTCACAACGAACATTTTTCAATCGCCTCCATTATGAAAATTTCGGAATATTTCGACAAATATTTCCTTTACATTTCGACCTCATTTCTTCGTACAATTTTTCCGGAATCGCACAATAGCACAGTTCTTGGATTTTTTTTTAAATTGCGTTTCAAACCAAATATTTTTGAAATTTCGCTTCGACACCATAATAACGCAATATATTTGGAATTAGTCCGTCGAAATCTATATTCCACATTGTTTTCACGATTCTTAGACAAATTTTTTAAAAACCAAAATGTTACAAACACATGATATCGAACTAATCAGATATTTTCTTGTACATTTCAACCTCCAGCAGTTACTTTCGGTCTCATTTCTTGGGTAAGATCGCACAGGAGCGTCAAATTTTTGTTCAAATTCTTCCTAAAAAGGACCCGATTTCTCCATTTTTTTCAAAAACAGAACCAACACCAGTGATCTAAGATGATTTCAAATTTTTCCCAAAACACAAAAATTTTGTCAAAAAACAAAATACTAAATGTCATCTTTTTTTTCTAACTCCACGCCAGATACTATCTCCAAGATTCTTTCAACTTCTTACAACAATAAAAATTTAGTGGTCTGTAAGATTCTTTTAAATTCTTTGAAGAAGAAAAGTTAGGAGGTCCCAAGATTTTTTAGTTTTTTTTTTCAAGAAGAAATCTATAGCAACAATTTCGTTTTTTTCGTTTTTTTTTTTTCAAATTTTTCCCAAGCAAAAAGGCTCGATTTGATCAAAATTCCTTCAAATTCTGTCAAAATCGAAACATGCGAGTACCCAAAATTTTTCATTTTTTCTACTGTCAGACACATTTCAAAAAGAACCACATTGAAATTTTTTTTCTGAACTCCTACACTTTTAAAAAATTTCAAGAAAATTGGAATAACCTATTTGTGTCGCATATAAACCATATAAAGTGTAGCATCGTTATATTTTTCAAATTAGTACATCGAAATCTATATCTCACAATTGTTTGAGGATTTTTAGCAAAATTTTCGGAAACCAAAAGTTCTTAGGAAAATTTCGGAACTTTTCGACCGCCTCTGACATTTAATAAAAGCCATTTTCTTGTATATTTCGACCTTAAGAAGTTACTTTCGGCCTCATTTCTTCTATAACTTCGACCATTTTTCCAAAATCGCTCATCGAAATTTGACAGATTTTTTGATTAAAAAAAATCCATTTCAAGCCGAATATCTCTAAAATTTTATCCCGACACCATAAAAACGCTGTATTTTTAGAATCAGTACGTCGAAATCTATAACCCAGAATTTTTTGAGGATTTTTAGATAACTTTTTCAAAACCTAATTTTTTTAATTTTTCGATCACCTTCGAAACTTAACGAAATACATTTTCTTGTAAATTTCGACCTCCAGAAGTTACTTTCGGCCTCATTTCTTCTATAACTGCCACAATTTTTCCAAAATCGCTCACTGAAATTTGACAGATTTTTGGATTTAAAAAAAAATCAATTTCAAGCCGAATATCTCTAAAATTTTATACCGATACCATAGAGACGCTGTATTTTTGGAATCAATATGTCGAAATTTATAACTCAGAATTTTTTGAGGATTTTTAGGTAACTTTTGCAAAACCAAAATTTTTAAGTTTTCAATCACCTTCGAAACTTAACGAAAGATATTTTCTTGTAAATTTCGACCTCCAGAAGTTACTTTCGGCCTCATTTGTTCTATAACTTCGACCATTTTTCCAAAATCGTTCATTGAAATTTGACAGATTTTTGGATTTAAAAAAAAATCCATTTCAAGCCGAATATCTCTAAAATTTTATCCCGATACCATACAGACGCTGTATTTTTGGAATCAGTACGTCGAAATCTATAAGTCAGAATTTTTTGAGGATTTTTAGGTAACTTTTTCAAAACCAAAATTTTTAATTTTTCGATCACCTTCGAAACTTAATGAAAGACATTTTCTTATAAATTTCGACCTCCAGAAGTTACTTTTGGCCTCATTTCTTCGCTAACCTGTACCATTTCCATAATCACCCATTGTAATTAAAGTTTTTTTTTTTCTAAAATGTTGCCCCAACACCACAAAGACGCTACAGTTTTGGAATCAGGACGTTCAAATCTATATTTCAGATTTTTTTGAGGATTTTTAGACGACTTTTTCAAAAGCAAAATTTTTCAGTAGCCACAATTATGAAAATTTCGAAATTTTTGTACCATCTTCGACACCCAACTAAAAACATTTTCTTGTTCATTTCGACCTCCATTTTTTTTCGGCTTCATTTTTTCGATAACTTCTATGTTTCCAGAAATATGACAGTTTTGGATTTCTTTTTTGTAGTTGCATTTCAAATTGAATATTTCTAAAATTTTGCCCCAGCACCTTAAAAACGTTATATTTTTGGAATCAGTACTTCAAGATCTATATCTAAGAATTTTTTGAGGATTTTGGGACGAATTTTTCAAAACGAAAATTTCTCGATACCCTCCATTATGGAAATTTCGCCCCGACACCATAATAACGCTATATTTCTGAAATTAGCTTGTCGAAGTCTATATCCCGGATTTCTTTGAGGACTTTTGGACAAATTTTTCAAAATCATAATTTTCGAACAATATGATAGGTACTGAACTAAGATATTTTCTTGTACCTTTAAAACACCAAGGGTTCCCAAGTTTCTGTCAAATTAGTTCTAAAACAAAACATTAGAGGCTTCCCAGAGTGTTTAAAATTTTTTCAAAAACAAAATACCGAATCTCACTTTTTTTTTTCAAAACCCACGCCAGATACTATCTCCAAGATTCTTGCAAATTCTTATAAAAATAAAAATCTAGGGGTCTCTAAGATTCTTTTAAATTCTTTGTGAAAGAAAACATGAGGAATCCCCAGCAATTTCAGGTTTTTTTGTTTTTTTTTTTCAAATTCTCAAAACAAAAGGGTGCAACTAACCAAAATTTCTCTTTTTTCTACTTTCAGACAGATTTTAAAAATAAATCCATTGAAATTTTTTTTATGAACTCTTAAATTGTTAAAAAATTTCAAGAAAATTGTAATAACTTATCAATTCGCATATAAACTGTATAAAGCCTAGCAACGTTAACAAAATTTTTCAAAACCGAAAGCTTTTAGGAAAATTTCGGAATTTATTGACCACCTCTGAAACTCCACCAAAGGCATTTTCTTGTACATTTCGACCTTTAGAAGTTACTTTCGGCCTCATTTTTCCTATAACTTCCACTATTTTTGCAGAATCGCTCATTGAAATTTGGCAGATTTTTGGATTTAAAAAAGCCGAATATCTCTAAAATTTTATCCGGACACAATAAAAACGCTTTATTTTTCGAATCAGTACCTCTAAATCTATAACCTAGAATGTTTTGAAGATTTTTAGATAACTTTTTCAAACGTAAATTTTTTTAATTTTTCGATTTCTCGATTTTTCGAGATTTCGATGTTTCAATTTTTTCGATTGCCCAATTTGTAGATTTTTCAATTTTTCGTTTTATCGATTTTCTAAAATTCTTCAGTTTTTAATTTTTCGGTTTTTCGATTTTGCGCGATTTCGATTTCTGGTTTTTCAGATTTTTTCGATGTTTCAGTTTAGGGATATATTTTATTAATATTTCGATTCTCCCATTTTGCAACTTTCGATTTTTTTTTCAATTTTCTCTTTTTTAGAATTTTCGATTTTTCGGCTTTTCAATTTTTGGATTTTTCGATATTTCAATTTTGGGATTTTTCAATTTTTCGATTCTTCAATATTTCGATTTGTCGTATTGAATTCTCGATGTCTTTTTCGATTTTTCAGTTTTTCGATTTTTAAATTTTACATTTTTCGAATTCTAGATTTTCTAGGATTTCCAAGTTTCTTTCAAATTAATTCTAAAACAAAACATGAGAGCCCTCCAAGACTGTTCCAAACTCTTTCAAAACAAAACACCGCATCGGGGTTTCCAAGAAGATTCTTTTAAATTATTTCAAAAACATAAACACACTAATGATTCATAAGAAAATTGATCATTATTTATTAATTTAGTAATCATGATGTCATCAGCTTTCTGGAAGAGATGAATAAGTGAAATGGAATTATTTATAAATTAATTGTACAAATACGTATACGAGTAAACTTGCATTTTTGTATTTTATGGCTTGTCAAAAGCATATACAGCATTTCACTTCAAGTTTCGTCAAGCTCATTTTGTTATACTACATAGTTCATTCAGAACGTGCAACTACAAGAAAATTTTAAACATAGTATGACGTGAGATACGATATACAGCGTGGTATTTTTAGAGTCATACTATAATAATCTTGGAAATCGTAAAATATAGGAGTTTGAGTAAATCAGAAAAATAAGCTGACCTGACCTGACTTGACTTAAATCTCGGATTGTTATCACAGCAGCGAGACGCTAAAATTTACCAAAAATAAGATAAACTGCGCATTATAACGAAATCTTATTTAATCTTTTTTTTTCTTAACAACGTACCATCGAACAAAGACGTCATTTGTTCATCACCCTGTATATTACGAATTCAAGTGTGAACTAAAAACTACTACTAATCGGAACCATTTTTTTTTTAATTTTCTTAATTTTTCCTGAAACAATAAGAACGTTATGAATACTGTAAAATTTGTACGAAACCCGTCGAAAATCGCTTTTAATTCTTGCCCCGTCCCCGTTAACCCCCGCCCCCGACAAAATTCATGCCGCAATTAACCCATTTCTCCCTTAATTGCAGCTACATATCGCCGCCGCCAACGGATATTTGAGCGTAGTCGAATTTTTATTAGACCACAACGTCAGAACGGACGTTCGCGACAAGGACGATTGGCAGCCATCACATGCAGCAGCTTGCTGGGGACACGTAACGCCGCCCCCATTAGCCGAAAACTTTTCACTCATCCAATCTTTTCCAGGTCGAAGTTTTAGAAATGCTGGCGCAAGCCGGCGCCGATCTCAACGCGAAAAACAAACACGACGAAACCCCGGCAGGTACGTCCTAACCCATTCCGATACTTCTGTCAAGTCAAAACAAAATCCCCAAATCCTTTTCAGATATTTGCGAAGACCCCGAAATCAAGGACCGCATTCTAGAGCTAAGGACCGAGCAGGAGATCAAGCGGCAGGCCGAGGCCAAGAGGAAAGTCAGGCGGTCGCAGAGCAACACCAGGACGCAGTCGGTGCGGAGGACCTCGCTGCGGGACAAGGGACTCACGGCGCGCAGGGACGCGGTGGAGGAGGCGAGGTTGAGGCTGCAGGCCGAGAATAAAGTGAGTTTTTTGCGACGGGGAAGTTGGGGTAGTTTGAGGGTTGTAGTTGTAATCAGAAACTCATTACGTTATAAATACGTGGCTGGAGGATCACCGGGGGTTTTCGTAGGCTGGGAGAGCCCTGGGGGGCGACAGCTGATGATTTATGCATGTGTACGTTGTACGTGTTTTATTGGTTGCAGAATTAAGACGGTGTTTGTCTTATTAGTTCGTCTAAGCAGAGTTTCGGAGTTTGCATAAATATAAGATAATAACGGGGGGGAATTAAGTACAGTTACACAAGAGAATTTAATTAGGAAAAGAGTTAAATTAGACGTTAGAGCTTCAACGGGGAATGTTAAGAAGTTCGGCTATACTTTTAATTTGATATAAAAACTTAATAATTAAGAACTTTGTTTGGTGAGACTTGTGTATGTAGGGTGAAGGAAATGCTTGAAATTCCGATAATTAAAAATTCTGGGCGAAATACGGGGTCGTAGATGTTCATTTTTAACTATTGTTAAATAAAGTTAAAAAACTGCGAAGTTTTGCGCTTTGAAAGCACATTGATTGTGCTTCTGAATCGAAAATCATAGTTGGAGACATCTCAAACAACGACGGAAAAAGTTTTTGGAATGACGTCATGAATTTTTAGATGAACTAAATAAAAAACTTAAGAAATTCAAAAATTCTAGATTTACGAAATTCAATTCATTCTTGGAGGTTGAAACGGGTAAATAATTTCAATTGTTTTGAAATTATGCCTGTCCTGAAAGTGTTTATTCTTAGTAAATTTTGTAAAATCAAGAACAGGCTGAAAAATCTTGAAAATTCAGATTTTTAAAAAAGAATTTTACGGATTTTACAAAAAGTTTTAAGGAGTCTGAAAATTATGATAATTGGAATTTTTAAATAAAAACCTTAAATATTTTCAAATAATGAAAATTCTTGAAAATTGTATTGTACAAAATCCTTAGAATGCTGAAAAATCTCTAACATTCCGAATTTTTTTATATTCAGTTTTCGTAAAAACGTATTTTTTCTAAAAATTTAAAAACTGGTGAAAGTTGCTTAAAAATAAATTTAAGTTTTTTGAAAATATCGACGAAAAGTGTTTGGAAAATTGGGACTAAATGGAAAATCTCGGTTATAATTACAAAATTTCAATAAATACTTGCCGTTCCTGAAAATTCTTATTTAAAATTCAAATTTTTTATAATGTTCTGTGTCTTATTGGTAAATTTTTTAAAACCATATACAGACTGAAAAATTTTCGAAATTCAGATTTTTGTTTATTTTAAAATGTTCTGAAAATGGGGATTCTGTTTAAAAAATGAACATTTAAAGAAATAATAAATTTTAAAATACGATATTTTCACACAATACAATTTTAATTTTTTTGAAAATCTGAAAATTTTAAGACTTCGCTAAGCATCTTCATGGTTCAGAATTTTCAATATTTTGAAAACACCCCGGAAAATGGAAAGGATTTTCTAATGTGAAAAGCTATAACACATATAAGAACATTAAAATTTCGGAATGTCAGAGCTTTTTCAATATTTTCAGGAGTGACAAACTTTTGGCAATAATAATAAGATTTGAGCATATTTCAGGTTTAATTTTTCACAAAGTAATTTCATGTAATTTCTAGAATTTTAAAAATCTTGACGTTTTATTAACTTTTGATTTTTGAAAAGCATTTGTATTTTGAAAGATTCAAAACTTCAGAAAATTATGATTTTTTTTTCAAAAATTTTTACGGATTTTCTATATTTTGCCACTTTAAAAATGGAAACCTTCTTCTTGGAAAACTTGATTATACTTTCAAAGAACGTCAGATTTTAGAACTCCACTTTTTTTCTGGAATTTTCAACTGTCAACGTTTTTGGATCTTTTCCAGTATTTGCAACAAATAAAAACATACATTAAATAATTGAAATTTCCAAAAACCGCATTAGTCCACAATTGCAATGTAAATTTTATTTTTTTTAAGCTTTTGCTGTGTTAAAAGACTCAAAGCTTCAGAGTTTTTAAAAATAAAATACAGAAGTTTTTTTTAAAGTTCAAAATTTTAAAATACTTAGTAATATTAAAATTTTTGGAATTTTACAAATGTTTCAGTATCCTGAGGATTTTCTATAAATTAAACTTGTTTAATTTTAATATTCCAGAATGTTTCAAAACATTTTCTTTTGTATTTTTTCCAATTTTATGAATGGATAGTTTTTTAACAGATTTTATTTGTCTTGTATTTTCTGAAATTTTCACGAAATTTGTATTTTTAACGACTTTTAGATTTCAGAAACTTCAAAAATTAGAAACGCTTCTCGGTAATTTTAATCACCAATGTTTTTAAAAGTTTTTCCTTATTCGAAACAATGAATAAGATAATTAATTAATATTTTACTTATATTTTATAATCACTTTTATATCGTAAAACTCCACTTTTTTTTCGAAATTTTCAATTATAATTTTGAATTTGCAAAATTTTTAAAGCTCTTGCTATGTTAAAATAGTCGAAAGCTCCAGGATTTCCAAAATGTCGAGAAAAATATAGAGGTTCTTCTTAAAAACCCAAAATTCTTTTTTAAATTTTTCGAATATTAAAAATTTGGGAATTTGACAAAAATACAGCATACTGAAGGATTTTCTATAAGTAAAACTTTTTTAATTTATATAATTTTTAATTTGTCGTTATATTTTTTTTTATTTATTTGTGTTAGTGTTCAAATTTTCTCCGAAATTATGACATTTAGATCTCAGGAACCTCAAGAATTAGGACCGTTTCTCGATAGTTTTAATTACGCATCTTTTTAGAACTTTTTTCCATATATTCACACAATTTAAAAAATAGCTACAATTTTTTAGTATACTTTTAAGGACCCTTAGGAACACCTGAATTTTTGAAAACTTTCTATTACCAACGATTTTAGAACTTTTCCAGTTTTTACCACAAAATAAAACATGTTTAATCTATCGTTTTTTTAATGCTTTTCAAAATTTCCAAAAAGATTTTGCCATGTTGAAATTGTCAAATCTTCAGTATTTTTAAATTTTGGAATTTGACAAATGTTTCAGTATTCTGAGAATTTTCTATAAGTATTTTTTTTTTTTATTTTAATAATTTCAAAACTTTTCAGATCACTTTTATTTTTGGTTTTTGTAGATCTTCAGTTTAGGAATGGACACATTTTTCAACGAATTTTATTTGTGTTAGTTTTTCTCAAATTTTCACGAAATATTTGTTTTTAATGACATTTAGATCTCCGGAACTTTTAGAAATCAGAAACGTTTCTCGGTATTTTTATTACTAATGTATGTATTTAGAAGTTTTTCCAAATTTGAAACAATTTAAAAAAAAACTAAGGTTTTGACGATACTTTTAAGGACCTTCAGGATAATGAAAAAAAAAACTAAAGTTTTGACAATACTTTTAAGGACCTTCAGGTCTTAGAACTTTACATTTTTCCTAGAATTTTCGATTTTTATCAACGTTTTAGAACTTCTCCAATATTTACAACAAAATAATGATCGATTTTTCTAGATTTTCAATTTAGGAGTGGACAAATTTTTCATCGAATTGTATTTTTGTTAGTTTTTCTCAAATTTTTACAAAATATTTGTTTCTAATGATATTTAGATCACAGGAACTTCAAAAATGAGAAACGTGTCCCGGTATTTCTTTTACGAATGTTTTTATGTTTGAGTATACTTTTAAAGAACTTCAGGTCTTAGAACTCTGTCTTAAAACTGTCAAAGCTTCAGTATTTTCAAAATGTGCAGAAAAACATAGACGATATCTTTTGAATGACCAATATTTTTAAAAGTTTACAAATATTAAGAATTTAGGAATTTTACAAATGTTTTAGTTCTCTGAAAATTTCTACAATTTCAAAATCTTTCAATCACTTTTATTTTTGGTCTTTCTATAACTTCAATTTTAAGAATCGATACATTTTCGAACAAATTTTATTTTTGTTAGTTTTTCTCAAACTCGCACTAAATTTTTTTAATGACCTTAAGAACTCAGAAACTTTAAAAATTTGAAACGTTTTCCGCCATTTTTAATTAGCCACGTTTTCAGAAGTTTTGCCATTTTTGAAACAATTTAAAAGATAACTAAAATTTGTTATTATATGTATATACTTTTATGAACCTTCGCATCTTAAAACTACATTTTTTTCTGGAATTTTCAATTGTTTTTTTTTGCAAAATTTAGGGCATTTCCAGTTTTTACAATTAAATAAAATAATATCAATTTATTTAAAGCTTGAAATTTCCGAAGATCGCATACTTTTCATTTGCATTTTTCGATTTTCAAATTTTTTGTTCTGTTGCCAAAATTTCCGAATTTTCAAAATGTTTTTTGACAGCCCAAAATTTGTCAAATGAATATTTACGAATATTAAAAATTTTGGAGTAAATAATTTTAGGAATTTTGTTCTTTTTGATTAAAACTGAAAAATATCAAAATCGAAAAATAGAAAAATTGTAAAATTCAACAATCGAGAAATTCAAAAAACGTGAGTCTGAAATATCGAAAAATCCAGGAAAAATTAAGAAATCAAAAAATTTAAAATTCGCGATATTGACAGATCTAAAAATTAAAAAATTTTGATAACCGAAAAATTGGGAAATAGAAAAATTATAAAATCGAGATAACGGATAATATATTGAACAATCGAAGGAGTGAAAAATCGATAGATTGAAATTTTGAATAACTGAAAGACAAATGGAAAAATGAAAAATTGAAAAATCAAACAAGAAAGACAAAAATCGAAAAATTGGAAAATCCAGAAATTGAAAAATCGAAAATTTTAACCTCGATTCTTTAATCTTTAAGTTTTGCGGTTGTTCAATTCTTGGATTTTTCCGTTTTTCGAGTTCGGAAGATCGAAAAATTATAAATCGAAAAACCGAAAAATGGAAAAATCGGATAAATCAGAAATCCTGAAATCGAAAAGTCAAAAATCGAAGAAATTGAAAATATAAATTGAAAAGGTGAAAATTTGAGTAATCGG